GAGAGATACAGAGTTAGAGGAATCCAAGGTCAAGCTAAAAATAAGTAATGCCTTAATATAGCCATTTTAGTTTGCTATTGCTCAAAGGGGCATTTTCCTTGCTTGCATTTTTTAAAAAATAGTTACATATTTCTCTCGGTGAAGTGGTCACATAACCTTTTCATTTTTAGCAAACTGCATGATCCAGGAAGAGCTGTATGTCTCTACTTTTTTCTAAACGGTAGATCATGGCTAAAGAAAGCGTGATCCTAGTAGCACAACAGCTTCTTAGCAAGATGTCTGTTGTTGCTTAACCAGAACTTGCACAATAGTCTTTCTGAATTGCATTTGTAGCATCTTCATAGTTGGTACAATAAGGTCCAAAGGATATAAAAACAGTTGCTTCTTAACTAGTTCTTGAGAATTAACTTTTTTTCCCTTAGTAGATGCTTTTGCATGGTTTGCTTGAAAAGCTAGGTGAATTAATTAATATGCATTTACAAACTGACTTATCATGGAGCATTTTTGGACATACTGTTTGGGGGAATAGAACAACGTTTGAGTCCAGTGGCACCTTGAAGACCAACAAAGTTTAATTCTGGGTATAAGCTTTCATGCGCATGCACGCTTCTTCAGATACTGATGCACCCAAAAGCATATATCCAGAATTAAACTTTGTTCATCTTAAAGGTACCACTGGACTCAAACTTTGTTCTGTTGCTTCAGACCAACACAGCTACCCCATCTGAATCTACCTGTTTGGGGAACAGAAAGATGTTATCCTACTGCTTGAGTCTGGCCGACTGAAGTTCCTGGCGTGTGAGCCCCATGTCGGGACTTATTTACTGCCTCTTTTTCTAGGATCTTATTCTCGCTGGCCTTGTAGAACTCCTCATTTCCTCTACGTATTTAGGGGGCATTTTGCAGATGCCAGTTTTAATGACCCTCTCTGATTAGGAGGAGGAGGAGGAGATTGGATTTATACCCCGCCCTTCACTACCCAAAGGAGTATCAGAGCGGCTTACAAACTCCTTTCCCTTCCCCTCCCCACCCCACAACAGACACCCTGTGAGGTAGGTGGGGCTGAGAGAGCTCTGACAGAAACTGCTCTTTTTCAAGAACAGCTATGCCAGAACTATGGCTTGCCCAAGATCATCCAGCCAGGTGCAAGTGGAGGAGTGGGGAATCAAACCCAGTTCTCCCAGATTAGAGTCCACGCACTTAACCACTACACCAAACTGGCTCTAGTAGAAGAGAGCCAGCCTACAATTATCTTAATACCACACAACCTCTCCTGAAATCTCTCTGGAAGTTACCAGACATCCAGATTTTGAAGCTGTCTTTCTCCCAGGTTGTGTTTTTGAAGGGAAGTGTACTAGAAAGTTAGGCAATATGTCATCATAGGTTCTTCTTCTATACACCCATGCATGCTAATTTTAATGACCTATGAATTGCATGTGGTTGGCTGCTTTTGGTATCTCCAGCAGAAATATGTTCCAAAACAAGATTGACATATGAAGCTGCCTTCCATTGAGTCAGACTGTTGGTCTGTCTAGCTCAGCATTACCTACTCTGACTGGCAGCAACACACCAGGGTCCCTACAAAATCTTGGTAAAAGAACATTTCCCCTAACACTTGCCATCCAGTACCTTCTTTTAACTTTCCGTGGCAGGAATTGATACAGGAATTGATACAAAGCATGTTCTCTGCCTGTGAATCATTGTTGACACAAGTGGTTTAGCTGGTTTTATGCCCAATGCCATTGCTTTGGAGACTCTTGAAATGTCTTGACATTCTTCAAAGAGTACTATTGGCATTTGGTTTGAGCAAAATGGCTGCTGCAAGGTTGAATGAAGACTGACAGCTTGGCAGGGGTCTCTAAGATGCCTCTAAGAACAAGGTTCTTCCTTGATCTGTTCCCATCTGATCTGCAGACTGGAAATGGAATGGGGCAACATCTCTGTGGAACACCAATGCATTCAAAGAGACCGATTTCCCACAGCCACTGCTCTGCGCTCACGCCTCTCTTTGCCCTGATGGTACATTTCAATTTCCCACTCGAAGCCATGCGGCCGCATTTTGATCCACGGCTTTGCCCATGGTTTCATAATAAAAAAATAGGATCACAAAACCGCAGGGGAAATCGGGCAAAGCCGCGGGTCAAAATGCGGCCACGCGGCTTCAAGTGGGAAATTGACACTGTAGTGTATTCAAAGCTGCCTTGAATGCTTGACATGTTGTGAAACATCTAACTGAACTGTAATGTTAAGCTTCATCCTGGGCTAGGATCCAAATCCATCCAATAGTATTGCTAGCCCAGGAAGTAACAAGTTAATCACTTCAAGCAAGCTCCCTGAGCGGGAACTAAGGTGATTGGACCTTATCTCTGCAACCTCATAGGTTGATACTTGTACAGTAGGTGTGGCTACATTAGCCGGGAATGTTTAAAAGCAGGACAGCTGCAATGTAAAGGCTGTTCTGGCTATCCGTGTTGGAGTTGTGTTCGAGTTGAAGAATAAAGTTGTATTCTTGCTGAATCACTCTCCGACTACTTTGTTAAGCGAGCGACTTAACAGACACGTACCATCAGGGCAAAGAGAGGAGCGAGCGCAGAGCAGCGGCTGTGGGAAATCGGTCAGAGTGTTTGACTAAGTTCTTTTATGTTATCTGTAATAATAAAGTTGCTGCATTTCACTCCTTGATAAGCAACTGGGCAGAAGTGGTAGGTATTAAGATGGAATGCATGCTTGCATATTGTGCTACCCCGCACCTTTTAATAGAGTAGCAGGGATTGCTAATGTGATCTATAACCACATGATGTATCCATGTGATTAAATGGAATATAGATGCAGCAGCCTCAGAGGATGATAACTGTTCCTGGTAACCTATGAATGGGGTTTAAATTGTTCCTGGCTTGGTATCTTCTGGTATTCCTGGTGCTGGACAGAGGAGATTGGTAGCAGCAAGAAATAAAGCCTGTGACTGGGAATTTTCCAAGATCTCTGCAGAAGCCACTTGAATGGGAGGAGCCATACCAGATGGTTGTGGCTTTGAGGCAGGCCCAGGATCTACTACTATTGGCTCTGAAGTCCAGAACAATTTTGGCAGAGGAAACTGATCTTCTAGAACTGGTCTCCATTTTCCATGGATGGAGTCTGGCAGATTCACTGTGAGGCCTGGATGGTGAAGAAGGGAAAAGCCAAACGTGCCCTCTCCACTGCAAATTATTGTTGGTCCTCAGATGTAATGGAAAACATTCCAATGGCCTATTCTGTTCCTTCTCTACTACGGTCTCTGTCCCTAACCCCTGGCACACTGTGGCTCTCCTGTGGTGTTCTAGGAACAATCAGACAGGAGTTTCCTTATTGGCTTCCCGCCAGCCAAGCACTTGCTAATGTGTATTACCAAACAAAGGACAATCCTACCCACAAGTCTCTTTGTTGTTTGCCTTGTATTGTGTTAAAGATTAGACAGAAAGAAAAGACACATACGGTGTCTCTGGGTCAGGCTGATCATAAGCCAGGAGCACAGTCTTCCCAAAACGTTTTACATGGAGGTGCGTGCAAATATGATAGGTACATTTGATAAAGGCGAGGAGGTGGTAACAAGGCTAGATAAAACAGTTACACTAGTTAGGAGAGGGCTTACGGAGCAGGACCATCTTTGTGTAGCTGTCAATCAAGAGACCAACAGTGATGCTCCTTAATCAAGGAGGAATACGGGGCATGCAAGCTGCAGGAACATCCCAGAGCTCACTGTCCAAATGACTCCAGTATATTTAAACATTTAAATCACCCCCTTCCTTGCTTGCTTAGCCAAATTTAAGAAGACAAGTTGATATATGGTTGTTTTATGAGTTTGCTTAACAATATGGGTTTCGGATTAATCATTATCGTGATTTGTAGCATGTTGGCAGTCCTAAAACATTACATGATACACTGTGCAATGTACCATGCAAGGCATTGTTTGCCACCTTAGCAGTACGGTTGCTGTGTTCCTTATTTTGTTCAGACACGGGAGTAATTGTAGGGGATGGAAGTGGCGCCATAGTTCAGCATATGTCTTGCATGCAGAAGGTCCCCAGTTTGGGGCCAGGATTTCCATTTAAAACAAAACAAAACAAAAAAACTAGCTTGGGAAGCACAACTGGGAAGCTCCTTCACCTGAGTCCCTGGAGAGCCACTACCTGTTGTCATATACTCTTCTGGGCTAGATGGTCCAGTGATATTGTCCTGTGCTTACAGCAGATGTAGGCACTTGCAATATGGTTGATCCTGCCAGCAGGGTATCATGACCCTCAAGGCATCATACTCTGTTGAGCTATAGAAAACAGCAAGAGTCCAGTAGCACCTTAAAGACTAACAAAATTTGTGGCAGGATATGAGCTTTCGTGAGTCACTGCTTACTTCTTCAGATCGATCATGAGCAGTGACTCACGAAAGCTTACACCCTGCCATAATTTTTTTTAGTCTTTAAGGTGCTACTGGATTCTTGCTTTTTTCTGCTGCTACAAACAGACTAACACGGCTACCCATCTTGTTGAGCTTTAGAGATGGAATTAATTTCAATGCTGCTCAAGCATTTAGCTGTGTTGGAGATTGCCCTAGTAATGGTCTTGAGGATCTTTCATGATTTTATTTTTTTTCTGGGGAGTGCAGTATGTTAATTTGGCCAAGGATTTAAGGAAGACTTTCAAGTGTTTGATCTACTTTGTGTCCATTCAGCATGTAGGGTAGGAGGAGAGAGATATTCCATAGCCCACAGCCTTCCAGTGTTGGAATGTGGTTACCAATCACAGCATCATTAACTTAAGCTGCTGCTTTTCTCAAAATGGCAAGGTGTTTTGGGTAAATTGGCAGGACGCCTGAAATTCAGGTGATATTAGCGCTAGGTAAGCTGAACTTGGTGCATCTTCATTGTTACATGGTATTGTTTCCTTCATATATTCATTGTCCATGTTTCGAACAAATCTGCTGCTTTGTTCCCTAACATTCTGTGCCATATTTCATCTTTCTCTTAGGAGTATATTGATGCTCATCCTGAAACCATAATTCTGGACCCCCTTCCTGCTATCAGGACACTGCTGGATCGATCAAAGTCTTATGAGCTTATTAGACAGATAGAGGCCTATATGCAAGGTAAGCCTCTTGCATTTTCAACTGAGCTTGATGGAATTTATATGTTTAGGGAGGTGGGGAAAGCGTTTGAGGCCTGGTCCAGGAGTTGACTGGTTCTGCCAAAGCAAGTCGCTCATGATTTGGAATAATAGCTACTTTCAGCACATCCAAGTGCGAGGACTTTTGGAAAGGATGAATGGGCCATTCCTGAAGATTGTGGCTTGCATCCTGTGGTGCTGTTCCGGCAGTGCTATAGCAGCTCCTTTGGAGGGGAACACCTTCTCTGTTTGTGGAGTTGGGGAAGGTGATCTTTGCTGATTTCCCCCTTCCTGCTGCAGACTCCCAGTTTCCCCACCACCATGACCACCACCCTGTTCCTTTGGGGCAGCAACCAAAAGGAACATATCAGGGGGGCAAAGAGCTGCAATGACAGGAAGACATCAGGGAAGCCGTCATCTTTTAGCACAACTTTGACTATGCTGCTGAGGATCCTCACCTCATGTCTCTTTTCCAGGCATATTGAGCAGTTCCATGAATGTTTTAAAAGACTAACTTTGTAATTATATTTTATAGTTCACTTAATATTTCCTATTCATACACTGTCAGTAAAACCGATGCTACATTGGTTGCTTTGCTAGAGTGACTTTTCCGTCAGTTTTTCTGCACAGTGAAGGTAGCTGATATCGAGACTGGATTAACCTTAACATTGGTTGCCCAATTCATGGTGGACCCAGCCCTGAATAGGGCCTAGGGAGCTGCCGCTGTTACTGCTTTGGGTATGAATATGTCTCTTGCTATTGGAAGTTGGTCGAGGCAGGAACCAGGCTGAAGAGGAGGATGCTGATGCTTTTAGAGTACTGTCTAGGCACTAGGCTGGCTCATCTTGCAGGGGTGTGTGAGCCAGACCAGTTGGTGCCAAATAAATTAAAACATTCCCCAAAACTAAAGAGGCAAGCAGATACAACTCCATAAAGGACAGGAATATACTTCTGCATTTCCACTCATGTTTTCATTTATTTGGCACCAAATTGGTCGTCTATTACTAATACTAGAATTTCAAGAGGTATTCTCTCATTACAAAAATCCTACAACTAATAGTAGGAGGCAGGAGAAGAGCTTTTAATTGACAGTTCATAACCTTGCTGTAACATTTACATATTTATTGCATGATTTCTTCATTTTCAAAGTGGGATGAAGTTTACCCGTCTGACTGCAAAGGCATTTAAGGGAGGAGGATCTATACCTACCCATGCCTTTTTAGTGTGTCCTGGCAGCGTTAATGGTTTGAGATCTGAATTACCCATTACTTTCTTTGTCTTCTTGATGAGACTGTTATAAAGTAATTTCATTACTTGAGAAGGTAAAGGTAGATGAGGCATGCATTCTTGAATCACAAAGTATATAGCTTTAGTAGTTGGTGTTTGAAATATTTAAATTTGTTTGTTTTGATGTTGTCTATCAGCACTGCAGGAAGAGCCAAATGCTAATTGCTGGTTTGGAACGTCTAGCAAGCGTCTAATAGCAATTTGTGTTCAGTGCAGCAGAGTTTTCTTCTGGGGAGCATCTTCCAAATCCCCTTTTTTGTTGGCATGTTTGTTACTTTGAGACTCTCCTTGACATCCTTTTATGCAAATAGGCTTGTGGAACACTGCAGTCAAGCGTTCATCATTTTGCCAGAGAACTGGATACACATCAAGATATTTTCATAAAATACCATCCATTCAGATACCTCAGCTGAAGGAAACATATTCTTTGTGCTCCCTTGCAAATCAGTTCAAGGCTGGCTAGGTTTACAGAATAATTGTACAGAAAAATTCAGCCTAGATATTTTTAAAGATTGGTCTTCCAGGATAGTAGCAATATTCTTCTGTTTTGGTGAAAGGAGGAGGAGGAGGAGATTGTATTTATACCCTGCCTTTCACTACCCAGAGGAGTCTCAGAGCGGCTCACAAACTCCTTTCCCTTCCCCTTCCCCTCCCCACAACAGACACCCTGTGAGGTAGGTGGGGCTGAGAGAGCTCTGACAGAAACTGCTCTTTTCCAAGAACAGCTGTGCCAGAACTATGGCTTGCCCAAAGTCATCCAGCAGGTGCAAGTGGAGGAGTCGGGAATCAAACCCCGTTCTCCCAGATTAGAGTCCACGCACTTAACCACTACACCAAACTGGCATAGAGAGTTAGTCTTTAAGGTAGCACATTTACAAGGTAAACTGTGGCATAAAATTTTCTGATCTGAATCCTGTTTTTATGGGTCAGCTGAAGTCAGCTATAAGCCACAGAAGGTCATATTATTAAAAAGTGATTATTTTAATATTAAACAGAGTACGGATGTCATGTTGGTTCCACTATCTCACATGGTGTCTGTTGTGGGGAGGGGAAGGGAAAGGAGTTTGTAAGATGCTCTGAGACTCCAAGTGAAGGGCAGGGTATAAATCCAATCTCCTCCTCCTCCTCCTTCTGTTATCTATGCTGGGCAGACTGTACAAAGAATGCAGTTTGGGTTTGTTAACTCTTGGGGGGGAGAATTTTGCCCATTGACTTCACTTATAAGATGATAAACTGGTGTGTGTGTGTTAGCTAGTGTGTCATTATTGAGCATGTAGTTTTGGGTCTTCACTACATATTCTACCATGCAGAACGTTTATGTAGGGCAAAGATGGCACTGAAGGTGGATAGGATAGTACCATTAATGGCTGCTGGCCATTGTGTGTAAAGGGAACCTCCATACAGAGAAGCAGAAGATCTCAGTAGACAGCATCAGGGGAAGCCCTGTGCCCTGTTGGTTAACCTCCTAGGGAAACTGGTTGGAAACTGTGTGGGTCAGGATTAGGGCTGCCAGCTCCAGGTTGGGAAATACCTGGAGATTTGGGGGGTGGAGCCTGAGGAGGGCGGGGTTTGGGACATAATGTCAGTCACAAGCTCTGGCACAGCTGTCCTTGAAAAAGAGCAGTTTGTGTCAGAGTTCTCTCAGCCCCACCCACCTCACAGGGTGTCTGTTGTGGGGAGGGGAAGGGAAAGGAGTTTGTAAGCTACTCTGAGACTCCAAGTGAAAGGCAGGGTATAAATCCCTTCTCTTCTCTTTTTTTCTTTGTGGTTTTTTTTTTTTTTAATCTCCATTTGCTCAGCTGGATGGATCAGGTCCCTGGTTTCTGATTCAGATTAGCGTCATAAAATGCTTCGTTCCTCCTCACACGCACAGAATCCTGGGGTCACTTTGTATGTGCTGGAACAGTAGCTGACAAACCAGTTTTCGTGTTTGCCCTTACTTCAGGAGCGGGAAGTTGCCATGTATTCGGCCTTTAGATAAAGTTTTGTGACAGCACAAGAAGCTGGCGTATCTGGATCTGATGTAAGACCCATACCTCCCTTTTAACAAAGGGGAGGAGACTCTCCAGTAGACAGTGTCCGGTCCCAGAGACCATTATCTCAAATAGGGTAGAGCCAAGGGGCAGGCCAGTATATTTAAATATCCAAAGCAACTCTGTGGTATTTTTCTTGAAACACCAAAATGAGGTTCATTGAAGGAAAACAAGAACAAACATAAAAAAAAAAATGAGTGCAAAAGGGTTGCCCTAACTAAAACTATTTAGGTTAGGGGAAAGGTGATTGTTGTTTACCATAGCATCCTAGTCAGTGAGTCTTGTGTCCCAGCCTGGGACATAATTTCAAAGCAAGTATGTAGAACAAGAAAACAAGAGACCCCCCAGATACCCAGCATGCCCCTTTCATTTATTTGATTTTTATCACATTGGTGATGCTTCCATTGAGCTCCAGGTGCCGAACTAGGTGTGAGAGAGTAACAACCTTATTCTCTCCACAGCAAAACAAGATATGTTAGGCTGAAAAAATTATGCAGTGAGTTTAACGGCTGGCAAGGAAGGATTTGCACTTTGGTTTCGTTTCAGTCAATCCAATACACCACGCTAACTCCTCTGACTCATACAGTCCTTTCTTTTTGGACCTGATGAGTTAATGACCACACAGTCATGCGGTTTCTTGAAATCTGTCGTGTGGTTCATTTAACAAAGTTTAAGAGGCTAGCAGAGTCATGCTAATAAGGACGGAGCGGGAAATACCCCCTTAAAGTAATTTACACTCAAGTCTCTGCCTTGGGTAAATTCATAGTTATCTGACAGGATGGAATAGCTTATTCCAGTGGCTCCCACCTTACTGAGACTGAGGGCACTTCTGGAACTTTTAACAACTTGTATCAGCTGCCACAGAGGCAGCTGTTTCTGAATGGGCAGACATGCAGGCAATGGATCATTGCCTCTTCTGAAGTATTTCCTGTTCCAGAGAGGTGGGGAAAAGCTCAGGTTGGCTTTTTGCACTGCAGAAGGAAGGGGCCACCGGAAAACACATTGGTGGTCATCATGTTGGGGAGCACAGGCTGAGGCAAACAGCAACAAAGCTGCAAACAATCTGTTGCCTTTATTGGTACTGCTCTGTAGTTTGTGTATGTGTGTGTGTTTTATTTTGTCTTGGAAAATGAGCTACTGTCCTATCTTTCATGATCACTTAGCAGTTCCTTTATTTTTCATTGGATGGTCGCAAACCTGTGAACATCAGTTCTTTTGAGGATTTGAGGGGCCTGCTGGGTGACCTTGGGCCAGTCACATTTTTCTCAGAACTCTCTCAGCCTCACCTACCTCACAAGGTGCCTGTTTGAGGGGATGTATATCCTGACCAAAATAGTGATTTGAGGGGATGTATATCCTGGCCAAAATAGTGATTTGAGGGAATGTATATCCTGGCCAAAATAGTGATTTGGGGTTTTAGTATGGTCAAGTCCATGCCGCAGCCAAAATTCTTGCAATTATGTGGAAGATTATCTTTACGCTTAGGAATGTGGCTACCGTAGAGACATGTTGCCACAAGAATTCATTCCCACTTACCAAAACACGATCTAAAGAATTCTATTGCCTGATTAATTCCAGGGTATTACTCAGTTCTTTTACATAATGGTCTCTGGTGCAGTTTAAGATTCTCGTCTACAATCTTTGAGAAGCCTCCAGGGAAGAA